AGCGATATCTGACACATTTAATGAAGTGGGTCCGAAAGAAACGACAAGGCTTTAAACGGTTTCGAGTCGATGAAAGCAACACTCATGGGAATGAAGAACTCATCGAAGAACTATCTCGTGGACTCGTAGATGCCGTCGGCGAATCTTGTTACAACGAATGCCGCGGGATATGCAATCGAGAGATACGCTTCTCTCGATCCACTTAAAATTTTTTGGACTCCGTTACTCTGGTTTTCTTGCGCTACTTGCATCTAAAGGATGCTCGCATTACAGTACATTCGTATCGCGCATAGGGCACGCTTACTTCTAAGAATTTCCACTCGCTAAAGTAGATCGTCGTATAATAAGAAACCAGTCATTTCAACTGTGACACATATTTTATATCTCATAAATATATATTTATTTAATGATTTTATCCACGTTGTTCGCGTGTTTAGTGAAAATTTCTTTACAGTTTCGTCGTTTGTTCACTCTATCTCCGATTAGAGCGTTTATTCAAGTGCTATCGTTACAATTACACTATTTACTTCTCGACTGACAGGATAATTGTCTCGTTCGTGTCAGTTGGAAAAAAGAAAAATCGCGTGTAAGTAATTTATAAAATTACCATCCGATTTTCAACGAGTGGACAAATTATCGATCGACGTAATTATCAATTATTTAATCTATTATTCTAATCTCGAATTATCTCGAGGATAACACCTTGCGTTTAACAACAAACCATTGAACGAACAGCGCCCTGTTATCGAATTTAGTGTACAGTTACAGACGAAAAACAACACCCATGGGAAACGAGAGGAACTCGACGATGACCATGGGGAAAGAGACCACTCGATGTTGGGGTCCCTCTGAATGCATGCAGCACGGAACGGTCCCGGAAATCAGTCCCGTCACGCAGACCGGAAGCTGAACGATGCCACGTAGATGGATTGACACTAAATCCCATCGCCCATTCTCTTCTTTTTCTCTCTCAATTCGACACAATTACCGTGTTAACAGGTTACGAGACAAAGTAAAATCCTCTCTTATTTTCAGAAAAAAGAGAGAAAAAGAAACAAATGTTTCCCTGTACGACACATTTATGGATGATACGTAGAATTTTTCCACGATGCTTAATAATTTTTTGTCTCATTCCTTTTCAACGTTCCTCTTCGAAAGGGCTTGCAATTGTCTCGTCAAAATCGAACTGCGCGTCGAACAGTTTACCGATACGCGGCGCTTTGTCGGTCCGTTTCCGCCACAGTCCCGTAACCTGAAATTTAAAGATCCTCGGGGCTAACATTTTCAGGTCGTAACACTCGGTTTAAGGCGATATTCGGTTTCGATACAGGTTCGCCTTGCAAGGTGAGATGCGTGCTTCTCCCGTTCTTTCATTCTCTTCTCTGCCGCGTTTTCGTCTCGAAACCCACACGAGCCCTCTATATTCGTATGTACGATTGGTCGGTGTGTGTGACGCGCACACGTCTTGGGCTCGTGCAGGTGCACGGTGGGCGTGCGCCGTGCAGCCTGCAAAAGAATTGCACACGAAGGAAGAGACTCGGCTGTGGGAAAGTAACGCAACACCATGAGAGCCTGGACCGCCGCTGCCAAACTCCCATAGCGGCGTGTATATATAGTGGTGCTTGGATGCGCTCGCTGCGTGCACGAGGATAAAGTGGCTGACCACCGTGGTTCCGATATGCTCTCTGCCTTCGCCTTTCCTGTCTGTCAAGTCTCCTCCTCTATGAATTGTTGAAAATATTTTTAATCCTTCTGTGCGACTCTTTAACAATAATGATTTAAATCTTTCGTAGAATATAATTTCAAAATATGATCTTTGGTATTTAATATTTGGAATTTAGCATTCGAGAAGATTGATATGTTCTTTGAAGTGAGGGAAAAGTTTCCAAAAAAAATTGAGATTTTTTTTGTAAGATCTTAGAATCAAACGTTATATAACCAATTTTTCCGCGTCGAAATAATCTGTAATCAAAATCTATTCTAGGAATTTTATTATCTTACCAATCCGTGTAACAGTTTTCTTTCATCAAAAAGAGTCCTTTGTAAAGCGAGATATTTTTGTCGGTTCAAGTGGTAGTAGGACTTTTCAGATATGAAAGAGATTTTTACGATTCCGGACCTCGTTCGACTACAATCCTCCACATTGTACGGAATTTAAGTACTCTCTAGGTTGGTCACGACGCTTTCATTGGTTAAAATGTGGAACGTTTCATGGAATGGAAGGAGATCTGAGTTACGGCGCGCCACGGAGGTGCCTCCATGATGGACGAGCAATCGAAAGTCACACTCGAGTGCTCTTTTTCGCATGACATACATGTTTCAGACTTATCTGCCGATTGCAGCTGCGACGAGTACGATCTAGTTGCCGAGGCTAATTGAATTTTCTCCTTGAGATGGTCGTGGAACGAAGCCAGACCGCCGAGGGAAATGCTTCTCACAGGAGGCTCGTTGTTCGCGACAAAAGGGAAGAGCGTTGCACCGGGGAATCGCGATATCACGCGTCTCTGAAACGACACCGACTTTCGCCTTGCACCGTGTTTACTCGTTCTTACTACTCACTTAAGGATCTTTATAAAACCCATCACGATCGTGCCGACACTCAGAATCAGAATGCTGTATATCAGCATCTTATTGGCCTCGAATAATAAAGAACGAATAATAAATATATCGATAAGAGCGATAGAAAAGCTTCTGTGAAAAAATTCTACACGCAAGGAGGATGTAATTTTTAAATTTGGCGAGTGAGAAGTATAATTTTTTTCAAAATTTCTGATCGACGTATTTTTAACAATAACACCTGTATTATGTGTACAAGCATCGAATTACCAGGCCACCCTATAGAAAGTCCCTTTGCTAAGGATATTCCGCTCAGGTGTAATGATACGCTTCCTTTTCTACAATTCTCCACCCAACCTATTCTAACGCTCATCGATTTCGTTCGTGTCGGCCCTCTTCGTTGTGCCATTGTGAACGATCGAAATGACGTTCGAAGAGAAAAAAACGTATAAAATATTTTCATCTATTTTAAAGATAATCGTTCAAGGAATCCCAATAAGATCTTGGAAGAATATTCATATTACGTGGGGAGAGAAATAAAGTAAACATGATTATGACCGGCAAGAAGGAAATAAGAATTGGCCGCTTCTCTTCCGGAATGAAAGGAAAAATATAACTTTCGTTCGTATCTCATCTTCGATGGAAACACAACATTTGTCTAGATTGTATCTGGAGCACTAGAAAAGGAAACGTTTCTTTTTTTTTTTTTTTTTTATGGATCTGGGAAATAATCCTAATTCTTCCGTGAGTACGAACATTTTTATATAACGAATTATGAATATTAAATTTATACCTTAACTCCTACGCGAGTTTATCGTTTCTCTTCGAGGGAAATCAACGTGAAATCTTTTTCTTTTTCCCTCCTTACGTACGCATGTAATCCCCGCCCATACGTTCATATGATTTCGTGCGATTACGTAGGAAGCGATCCTTGTTCTTTTGCAATTCTATTCCCGATTTGTCAATGCAGCCGTATAAATAAAATATCGAATCTTCTTTAAGTCCAAAGACGAAACTTGCGTAAAAGATAACTCGTCGTGGGTGATTTAACTATCGCGTAGGAGTTTATCAGAAACCAGACTGTTGTAATCTTTTTTATTTCCTGTTAGAAAAAAAGATTGTCTTAAAAAAAAAAAAAATCACATCTAAATGAGAAATATTTTAGAATATCGAAACAGATAGCGTTTAAATTATTTGTTTCGAAAGATTCGCATACGATTCATCCTTTTCGAAGAAAATCACCCATAATTTTTTGCTATTTATATTATAGATTTATAAAGGCTTGGCGAGTTTTCTGCTAAACGAATGGAATAGAAATAACTAAACGTGGCAGCTATTAGCGGCTTGACTGCATTTTTTCAGAATCTCGAAAGTTGCGCGTGACATCCATTAGTAGGTAGAACTTGTTGTTCCAAAGACTTTTGTAATTTACACGCTTAGGAAGCTACACGAGGCGTTTACAGAATTTCAATCGTCATTTAAGGCGTCACCTGTCACAGGTGAATTACTTCTCACCCCCTGGATCGTCTTATAACGTTAAAAAAAAAAAGAAAAAAGAAATACCAATGAACACTTGTACCCACGTACTTAAAACCTATGTAAAATATCAAATCTAGGTATCTTATATTCCCCTTTTTTATACGACGTCGTTAAGTTCGTCGATATTCAAATTTGATCACGTATCTTCTCGCTTACGATGTACATTCTTGTCAAACCAAAGAAAAAATCAGAAATAACTTGTACTACGAATAAATCATTTACGATTCTATTAGATTGAATAATAAGTTTAGTTATAAAAAATTAAAAATGAGTAGAGAGTAACGGAGAAACTATTTTTTTTATTAAAAATTGAATGTTTTTTTTTTAATATTACGGTGAAGATTACCAAATTTTTTTCAAAGTTATGGCGGAAAAGTTTGCTACGTTAAACACAATATTTAATAGGAAATAATTACGAAACACGAATATTTAAAAAAAAAAATTACGTATCGAAACACGAAAATTTGAAAAAAGTTTACCAACCAACATATTTCGTTCTTTAAAAATAAACCTCGTTAAACCCGTTCCGTCCAATTCGCGTATCCTTTATTCTCGCCGACTTGTGCATTTCCTAATATATGCACCCCTGAGAACTAATGAAGGGTCAGCGAAACGAGACGAAAGCAAAAAGCGAATTAAACCCCGGACATCCTTCTGGCTTACGAACGCCCACGCGTTGTTGAAAAATTGCAATCTTCGAGATAAAAAAAGATAACGCGTAAAGAAAGAAAATCGAAATAAAAAAAGGGAGAGAAGGGTGGACACACGACCATACGATATCCAAGCTTCACGCCCCCGCACTCACAGAGAGAAAGAAAGAGGAGAGAGAGAGAAAGAGATAGCGAGTATAGAACGGTCGACGAGTCTCGTACGCTCGCAGGAAGGTCGTTTTCTTTCCTCTACGCCTCGTAAGTTTACTACGCCGACTTTACACAACGGCACACGCGTCCCCTTCAGTCGTAGCGCAGCTCTCGTCGCGTGTGGAACGGTCGCGTATTCGGTGCGACGGGTGATTTCAACGCTGGACGAGGCGCGTCGTTTTTTTCACGTATTTTTTCTCTTCGTCCGTGCATCGAATTTTTCGCAATCGTTTTTCGAGGGGGAAAAAGCAAAACTGAGAATATAAAAAAAATAAACTCGTATTTCGTGAATCGTGAAACGTCGACGAAGGTAGTTTTTTTTTCCTTTTCGCGTAAAGTGTATCGTACACTACAGTGCGTCGATCCAGTTTTTCGAAAATTAATATTTTAATGGACGAAATCGAAGAGGGTTTAACAACAGTGACTGTTCAATAGATAATGTGTTGTTAATCGAAGGGACAATCTCAAGGGGGAAGAGAATTCGTCTGGAAGCGTCGTAGCGGTGTAACATCGTATTGGATGCACTCAATGCCACTTGTTCGCCAAGTGTAAACATGATTCCCGCGCATTGACGTATGCACCGGACCGCGAGTGCGGGCTGCACTCAGCTGTGAATTCGTAAAAAGTGAGTACATGCGTGTGAATATTCATAACCGTTGTCGATAACGTTATCGATCCTCGTCCATCCTTCTCTACACGTGACGATATCCTATTAGACTGCGTTCGTCGGTATGCCCCTCTAATTCAGGGGGATATAATTAACACGATCGATTTTATGATATATATTGAATTCATATCGGATAGGAAATGTTCTTAGAACGTAACGTGTTACCGTTTTCATGCGTTATCGAGTTTCAAACGTAGAATAGTTGTTTATTATTAATAAAGGGGGGTGTACAGTTAACGCTGTGAGAATGGTTTTTATTCTTCTTTTTTCGCTTCCTTGTTATGGAAACATTTAACAATCGGGCCACGTATTGGCTTCCTCCTCTAGCCGTTTCACGCGTTTCGCTGATGTTTCTGGCGCGCAGCTGCGTCGTTCTTACGCTGTTTACGCGACGTTCCAAGGGCTTTTCCTTCGTCTATTTAGTCATACTGTTTTCGCCAATACATACGAAATTGCTACGTCGATGGCACTTAATCTTTTCTAAGAAACCACTCGGTACCAGATTACCTCGGCAATCACCCGCTGCTCCATGATAATTATCCAACGTCCTTCACCACGCTTCTTTCCTTTTGCGGCCTTGAGGAGAGAGCCTGAAGAGATTATATTATATTATAAACGTTCTATTCTCGATAAATATCGCATACATATTACCCTATCTGGGATAAAATAGCTTCGAGATAAGGACGGAATTGGAACGACCTGTTTTCAAAATTTTTAATTTTCTTTGCCTGTTGGAAAAATATAAATTTGTAATTAGTTATTATTACCGTGAATGGCTCGATCAAAATCTTCATTTTAATAAAAATCAAAATTCCTTACGATAATAATAACTTCGAATTTGTAATAAATAAATCGACAGCAATATGAGAGTTGTATTTTTTTTTAAACGGAAAGATAAATTTATACGGCAAATATCCGAAAGAATATTTAACTATCGAGTTAAAAAATATATCATTTGACGCTTAAATCATATCTTGAACATAAATAAAAGGAAGAACAATGGAATTGTGGTTCCAGGTGAGATCAAAGAGGCATGCTGAAGCACGTGTCAGTCTCTCCTTGGAGAGGACGAGCGGACAGCGTGAGTCTCGCTTCGAGCGGAGGTACGAGTAGCTGCGGAAGCGGAAGTCCTACCCCTGGACACACACCGCCGCCTTCGAGAGCGTCCTCCTGCGTTTCACTTGCACCCCTAACCGCCCTTTCCAGCTTCTCACCCTCCGATGCGACGTCACAACAGGTAAGTCAGCGATTGTACAAAAAAAAAAAAAAGAAAAAGAAGAAAGAACAGGAGTTCTATTCTTTCTATTCGAAATCAAATCGCATAAAAGATCGTGGTAGATGAAAGAGTGGCGCGTTTAAACGGATAGAGAGCGAGGCAGGAGGGTACAAAAAGCAATGACGTGGTTCCTAATAAAGCAAACGAGCAAAGAACAAAACCGTTATCCGTGACGGGCGTTGAAACGAATTTCTCGTGAAAACGAGAATAAAACGATTCGATTGCACTTATTAACAGCTGGACCACGTGTGTCCTTGCTCGCTCGTGTTAATGAGATTCATGGAAGAGAGAACTTCGTTTGTTATAATCCGCGATTATATTTCTGATGTCGTTTAGATTATTTCATCTCTCGATGAAAATAATTATTCTCGATCGAGCACAAAATTATAAGCGTTAAAAATTATTGTTAGCATCGATTCATATTTCAAATTATTTCGCCGTAGCAAATTTTTTTTCTTAGTTAAGAAAGACGAATAGTTTATCCCGATTACGATAGCATGTACTTTAAGCAATATTACAATAAATATTTATCACCGAGGAACAATTCAAGAGTAAATCTCCATTATAAATAAAGAATTCTCGCGTGCAAAAATTGAAAATACTCCGAAACGAGCGTTAATTGATTCAAGATTTACTCTTGAATATTTTTCACCGCTTTTGATATTGTCGCTGACAGAAGTCAGGTTCGGGAAGAGGGTGAATTTCTCACGATCCAAGTGTCCCCAATTTCGTCGAGCTGCAACTGCAGGCAGCTCGGTTTCGCATCCCTTTTTTCGCTCGTGGAAACACGACTCTCCCGTCGTGTTGGCCCTTGATCCAAGCAAGATGTTTAGGGTGGCCAGTTTCGCCCGACATCTGGGACCGAATCCTCCGTCCATTTGAATACGAGCGAAATTTTCTACGAACACGTTGTCTCTTTCCATAGAATTTCGATCTCGTGCACAACAGGTTGATATAATTGGCATTAAGTTCGTTTCATATCGTCGCGAATCGTCATCGTCGATATACAGCCGCGTAAATAAAAATTAGGGTCACCGCATTTAAAGCGCGAACTTTGCATTATTGCCGGCATCCTAGTTTCTGTAGCTCCAGATATTAAATACACGACTGTTGAATAGCTCGGTTTTCATTGTATCTACGTTTGCCTGGCCTGTTTCGCACGAGGCCACGTCAAAGGTCGTTGCAAACGTGGCTTCCGTTAGCTTCTTTCAAAGAATAACTGTGCGCCCCAACATCCTGGTCACAATAGTTTGAATATTTTTGTACCGATCTCTGGAATCCCCGTATTACTCAGATCCACCAGAGATGTTATCTAATTTACACCTTCGCGCAAGATCTTTCCACGAACGCGTGGAAAAAAGAAGATGTTTTAATTTTTTCTTCTTCGGGCAAAAGATATATCCGTTTTCGAAGTTTCTTCTTGGGTTTTCGGCGGCCTGAGTTTATCTTCGTCTGCTTGTCCCGCAGTTTTTGCCCATGGAACCGGGAATTCTCTGTGAGAATCCCGCATGCCAAGGCGTCGCACATTGCGGGCGACGACTCACAATGCGAAGTGAAAAACTATACCGCCGTAACCCTGGTGGATCCACTTAATCGCGCTTGCTCCCTGTCTACCGACCTTCGTTTCTTAGTAGATTGCTCGGTATTAAATTGGAGGCTGCGTTAAGAATAATCGAATCGAAACGAAAAACTTTAACGCGAAATGGCAGAAACATTCTCGTATCGTATTTTCGTGAAAATTTTTCTAAAAATTGATATGGAAAATCTTTTAAAAGATAGCGAAAGGGATAAATCGTCGAAGGGAGCGAAGATAGGGAGGAATGTTTCCCGGACAAAAGACGAAGAATAAATAAGCGTGCTTCGTTATAGATACCGAATGGCAGTCCGAAATATCGGCGCCGTATGGATTACAGCATAATCACTTGTGATGATAACTTGTCGTCGTAGCTATTCAGTCGTGGACGACAAGATAACGGGTTGTACTTTGATATGTCACTCCAACTGCAATTTTTATTTTCTTGTATCCTTTGACCCTTGTAAGAATTTTTTTAAAACAGAAATTTTTCACGCACCACTTTTCGTAATCGGATTACAGCATAATCACTTGCGATGATAACTTGTCGTCGTAGCTATTCAGTCGTGGACGACAAGATAACGGGTTGTACTTTGATATGTCACTCCAACTGCAATTTTTATTTTTCTTATATCCTTTGACCCTTGTAAGAATTTTTTTAAAAGCAGAAATTTTTCACGCACCACTTTTCGTAATCGGAGTAATTTATGATAATTTTTCTTTCCTTTCTCTCTCGAAATTGAGAATCGAAACGTTAAAAGATGTTATTCGAATTTCGGTGCAATGCGATCATAGAAACATTATCGTATCGACGATAAGATAAAGAAGCCGCGGAAGTGTCGTGATCTTAGGATTCCGTTTGCTGGTCGAGAAATACGTGTTGTTGGAACCGGTATGGAATAAAATGAATTCTGGTCAACGTTTTTTTTTCAAAACTTGCGTTAAATAACTGTAGAACGATCGCTAAGATGCTATTGCGGCTTTCACTATACCGCACAGCTTTACGCAACTTGGACGAAAAATGAAAAATCGCCGATTCGCGTGCAATGATCTCGATAAATGTCAATGTCTTCTCTATTATGGTACGTCATCACGTTGTAGAAAATATTCTTAACTCTACGCAAAAATTGATAGGATTGCTTAATTCTCCCAAGATCAATTTCTATTCCTTGTTTCGTTATAAAATTGTCGCTTCGAAAACGCTTTTTCTTATTTTCTCGATAATGCGTTTTCTTCTTTCCACGTAAATTTTCTACCATCCGTTCTCGAGGTACATTCTCTTCCCATAGTATCAAGGGGTATCGAGGCGAATTAAAAACCGCAAGACTTTAAAGAAACTCGATCCCGGGGAGGATCTGGATCATAGCTATCCACGCCGATCCTTGATCGATCATGGTATACGCGAAATCATGTTCCACCTTTTCGTTCCGCCTCTTCATCCCGGACCTGTCCCTCGCGTTCTCGGACTTCGCAATATCCGGCGCGGCGGCCCGTGGTTCCGGCTTTCTTGTTTACGTATACCCTTTATTCGAACCGGTCTCGATAAAACGTTGTTCTTCCATCAGAATGGAATTCGACTTTTATCGACGTCGATCGATCGACCTTCATCCTTGTGACGATTCACTCTTGGATCCTCTTTTTTCTCAGAAAACAGCTTTCCTCGATGATAAATAAATATTTGACAGGATTTATTTTGTAATCCTTTTTCTTTTTTTTTTTTCAATTAAGGGAAGATCAATAAGGGAGATGCTCGATCCTCTCGTTCTTACGGATGACTATAATAATTATCTATTATTATCTATAGTAGCATAACTGTAGGATATTCCAAGGGTTTATCGATTTTTCTTTGACGATAGGTATTATAGTTTAATAGATATTGTTTATCGGGCAATGATATTTTAGAAAAGTAAATTTCTAATCATACGTTGGCAATTTTGAACAACTAAATTCTTAGAACTTAGAACAATATTTAAAAAAAAGGAAGAAAGAACTTTTAATCATCGTTAAAAGAGGGAAGGAACAAAGAGACGCTTTTTCACAATATTCAGAACTGATCTCACTTTCGACACGACGGAACAACGATTAACTTGTCTTCACGAATTTCTTGCCGCTCTGGATAATAGCATTGTCTTCGAAACGATAATCAAAGTAGTAGTCGTTGCGTGAAAACCGTAGATCTCCAACTGTCTCTGTCGCGATAGAAGAAAAACTTGTGGAAGTGGAAGATCTCGCGTCTTTCCCATCGATCGATCCAAGGGTGTAATAAATTGTTGTTCGATTATTACGCGCTGGCGCGCCCGCATGATATGGGAAGACGAACCGGAGAACCTGGAGAAAAAAAAAAACCTCGTCTGGGCAAACAATTTTTTTTTTTTCCTCTACGAAAACCGGTAGAAAGAGTGACAATACCCCGTAATCAGGATACAAACGATTCCTTGACCGGTTCCAAGGATGCTACTCTTACAGAATGCATAATCGTGTAATCGTCAAAGTTATGTCGTCCTCCGCCAGAAGTCATCTTTTTCTTCTTTTTATGTATCCGCTCGAACGACGGACGATATTCACACGATCAGAGTTGGAAAACTGGAGTACGAGGGGTTGTTCCACGGTCTACGTTGATTTATTATCATGCTAATGAGTTTATGGAACGCTGCCTGTTACGTAACAGTATTAAGTGGCGCTTTCCAACGACGAGGGAATGTTATTACGTCACGGCGTAGGAAAGCGTAATCGTTGCAACGATCGTTCCTTATCGAGGGTACCGCTACCGAAGAAGGAAAACAACCCTTTAACTCGATCATTGTTTTACTCGACGTAATCCAAGCGAGATGAAATTTCACGACCGTTGGAAGAAACAATTGGATGGATCTCAAACGAGTCGTCGAGTTTTATTTTGCTGAACCGTCGAATGAAAAAGTGCGATCGATCGATTTTCGATGTATACGATTTTTAGAATCATCCGTTCGTGAAATATTTAAAGAACTCGCGTAGTCAGTCAGAGTCAGAAGAAGATTCCGTTCCCCCTCTTCCATCGCGTATAATTATAGGTCATTATCCGGGTCTAAGTAAGAGGAACAACTCGCGAGGAATGAACTCTTCTGTTGGAGCGCATCGGGGATTTTTTTGAGCGAGTGCTACCTCTTAAATAAACACGCGTGGACTCTAACAAGAACATGGTTGACATGTGTGAAGGAAGAGAAATCGAGGGAGGATAGAGAAGAATTTTCTTCCAATGTTTTATGGATGGATTAGAACTCGTTCCTCGCACAACTTTTTCCACTCGTCGGATCGTATTCAAATGCAAGCAGTTGTGCTTATTTTCATTGACAATTTCGTTTAGAAGGAACAGATGTACGGCGACGTATTCGGCAAAGCTGTTGGCAATAAA